AAGGGATATTCTTGGGTGGGTTTTTTCTTTTTCGCTCTCTGGATGCAGGAGCAGAGGAAGCTGCTGGCTTGCAGCACATTGCGTGTTGTGTTTAGCATAATTGCATTAAATACAATTGTCTTAAATTAGTTCCTTCAACGTCTGAAAAAGAAACATTGGATAAAACTCATGGCCAACTGCTTGGACACGATTCGGGGTAGGTTTATGCATGGGAAACGGTTACAAAGGAGAACAGAAAAGGAGCTGCCCCGAACACAGCCTCTCTTTTGGTAAACCACAAAGAAGCTCCAGAACTGAAGCTCCCAGGCTCCCGGTGCAGCTTCCCAAGCAGGACCCAGGGATGGAGCAGAGGGTGCCCATCCCCAGCATGGGGTGCTGGGGGACAGGGATGGTCCAGGGGTGCTCTGCCTGGGCCCATGTGGGTGCCAGCAGCATTTCAGGGCTGGCTATTGCAACCCCCTGTGTTTATTAACATGTTCAGCACACAGATTTATTCTGCAGGCAGGCGCTTATTGCTGCCATCAAACAGGGTCTGGCACACGGTGATGGATGAGCCAGGTTCGCCTCCTCTCGCCGCAGGCCCTGCAGCACCCTGCTCCTCTAGCACGTGAGCAGCAGCTGGTCCCCAAGGGGGGACAAGGGCCCAGGACCCACAGCACCAATTCAGCCCAACCCCTGCAACGGGTGTCAGGGTGCCCGCGTTCCCGCTGCAGTGAAGGGAAGCAGCTGGCCCTTTAAAGCCTTTTTTTCCCCCTCTCTTGTTAAAAGATGTCTGGGAGGGGAGCTGCCAATCTGAAAAATGATCCTTTCTTTTTTCCATTTTCTTCCTTCTCTCCTTCTAGCTGGTGCTCATCTGTTCAGGTGAACCGCAGGCACATTCATTAAATCTCTGTCTTTGACACCTCAGCTGCTTTGGAGCCCTGGGCTGCTCTTTCTCTTTCCTTTCTGTGTTTTTTTCCCCTTTCCCCATCTCCAGCTCGCCTGATCAGCACACTAAAGCAGCGCAAGCGAGCTGCAGAATAGTTAACTAAGCATAACTTTAACTGCGAGCTGCTGAGTGGCCGGTTTTTGGGGGGGGCATTGGGTGCAGCCACTGTCCCTGCCCGGGGACACAGCCACCGGGGTGGCAAGGAGGGAAGCTGGGCACGGTGATGGTGGCACAGCCTGCACCCAGCCAGCCCCTAGGCCACAGCCAGCAGCCAAGGTCTTGGCTGGCTCCGCTTCCCCCAGTCCCATTAAACCCTGTTGCTCCCTGCAGGAGCTCCTTCCTGTCCCCTTGGCTCCCTGAACCCCCTTTTCCCATCTTCCTTCCCCTCACACACCCACTCCTCACCTCTCACATAAACCCCATGCTGCTGGGGAGGCATCAGAAGGACTCAGCCAAGAGGGACAGGGCTCATCTCCAGCAGCGCGGCTGCCTCTGGGTCGGCTTCTGATGGGCTCCCTGGCTGAGCAGGGCTGGAGCAGGGAGATAACCCCCCTGCCTGTGCCAGGAATGGCTTGGCCTCGGCTGTGCTGGCTGCCGGCCGCGGTCCCCACCAGCTGCTTGCATCCAGCTCTGGCATCAAACAGCGGAGGTGGCGGTGGGATGAGGGATGGACATGGCTCATTGTGAAGGGGCAAGAGCAGAAAGCATCCCTTTGGGAGAGGCAGAGCTCCAACAGGGAGGAGGGCAGGAAGGCTGGAGCTGGGACCTGAAAGCACTTGTCCAGATCCCAGCTTTCTATGGGATGCAGTGCCTGGCACCCAGGGAATGGTATCACTTCATCGGGGACTGTGGCGATAGGACAAGGGGTATTGGGCTAAAACTTAAACAGGGGAGGCTCATATTAGATATGAGGCAGAAGCTCTTCCTTGTGAGGGTGCTGAGGCGCTGGCACAGGGTGCCCAGAGAAGCTGTGGCTGCCCCATCCCTGGCAGTGCTCAAGGCCAGGTTGGACACAGGCGCTTGGAGCAAGCTGCTCCAGTGGAAGGGGTTGGAACTGGATGAGGTTTAAGGTCCCTTTAACCCAAACCATTCTATGATCCTATGGCAGGGTGGCAGCTCTGATGAGTGTCCTGCAGGGATGGGGACCAGCCCGATGTGCAGGATGAGGCTCAGCAGGGCTGGGCTCCGTGAAGCTGTGAATTCCTGCAGAGTTTTGTTAGCGGGATCGGCGCGCAGCCTGGTGCCTGCTCCGAATTAATTATCCGCTGACACGATTTCCCTTCTTTCCCTTTGTGTTATTTTAATTAACGGAGATCTCCTCCAAGCGAGCCAGCTGTCATGTAAATGGTAAAACTGCCAGCCTGCACAGGAACTTAACAGGGATTCGGAGGAGGCCGCGCACAAAGGGATGCGCTGCTTTCCCGCGCGGTGCTTTCCTTCAGTGTCTGCAATCTGGCACATCTCTAAAGCTGAAAACACAAGTGTGAGGACCAGGGTGCGGCTGCAGATGGAGAAAGCCCAGCTCCAGTTTTGATCCATTTCTTGGGGCAGAGGTGAGGGGCAGAGGCGCTGCCCAGGTATTTTGGATCAGGATCATTTTCTTGCAGCCCTGCCTTTCCTCCCAGCTCCTTTCCCCTCATCCAAGCAGACCCTTACCATAGGAAGGGCTCAGCATCAAGCTGGGCAAAAGAAAACATCGGTGACTTTGCTATAACTAATCTGCTCTGTGTCCATTGTGGATGCAGCCTCACCCACATTCATCCCAAGCTTGATGCAACCATGTGCACCGATGGCTGGCTCTCCAGTCTCTGCTTCTGCACCCAGTGTTATGTAGGCTGGAGATATTTACCTATGAGCTGAAATCAGACAGTTCTTCATAAGATTGGGCTCCGCAAATGAGCAAACCCCTGTTAATGGATCCCATATGTCTTTGGCTAAAAGCTGCTTTAGCAGCAAGAAGAGCAGATGCAGAACGGTGGAGGTGGAGATGCAGAGATGGAGTTCATGCGAGGATACCCCATGGACATCTCATCTCCCCTGAACGTGAGCAGGAGCCTGTGGTACCCCTGCAGCCATCAATTAATAAATGTTCAGGCTCAGTCAATGAAGGTTTCCAAGGGTCCAGCTCAACAGGAGGCTCGGAGAGGACAGCAAAAAGCAGAGATGCTCCGGAGCAGTGGATGGCTCTGGACAGCAGGACACTGAATGCAGGAGCCAAGGAGGATACGTGCTGGAGCAGCTGGGGGTCTCTGCGCATTGGTGGGACCTCACAGGGACATGGAGCAGCAGAGATGCTCACAAAACCTGCTCCCTGCAGAGAAACCCTTCAGGCACCCCCAGGCTATAAGCAAATCTGTGTTCTTCTCGCTGCCTGGTTTTAGGTGCAGATCAGCAACCTGAGAAGGGTCCAGCTTTTCCATAGTGTTTTTGTGCATGTCTCATCCCTAAGGGCTGCTGACCTGAGTTAACTTTGGGTGAGGGCTCAGCTGCTTGATTCCATTTCCTCCCTTCCTCATCAGAATTATTTTCATTGTCCTTCAAGAACAAAGCAACAAGATTTTGAACCACATTTTGGTGAAGAAAAAGGGATTTTCTTTCCCAGCAGCAGCCAGGGATGAAAGCCTGGAGACAGCTGAGAAAGCTGCAGCATTCCAGCCCAAATGCTGAGCTTATCCGGTGCTCACAGCCGGGCTGAGAGGGGTCCAGAGTGACGTGAAGGTTTCTCAATAAGGCCAGTTTCCCAAGGGCTTGGAAATGCCTCTCACAGATGGAGGTTCCCTCCTCAGCCCTGTTTGCCATGCCAGCCATGCTGCTTGTCCACCCAAACAAATGACCTTGAGCAGAGCTGCGGGTCAATAAAATAATTTGCTAACTGATCCATCTTCCGTGGCAAACAGATGAATCAGCTCCGGCTCCCTGGGCTGTTTTATGTACGGATGGGAGAGCCACAAAGTTAAAGTAACATGTGCGAGCACATCCATCTCCATGCAGCGAAAGGATGGCTCCAAGTGAATAAACTGATGCTCTTTAAGACGGAAAGCTAAAGCATCTCTGGGTGTTGTGGCACTTGACTTTATCAGGTGCTCTTCTTCAGGACAACGTGGCTTGGGCTGCCCTCTCCCTTGGGGGTGCATTGAGTTGATGCGCTCCTGCTTTCTGCTTCCCTGGCCCATCCTCAGCCTCCTGCCCTTGCCACCGCCTCCATCCTTCATGAGGAACAGAACAAAGGCTCTGGTCCCCAAGGCTTGAGCTAAAGTTTCAGCACCAGGAGAGTGACTTACAGGCAGGAGCTGGAGCAACACGGGAGGCCAACTCTGCTTTCACTGCTCTCCTGTGCAGCACAGCGCTAACAGCAATAAAGAAACATCCATTCCCACTGTGGCAACACATCCTGCAGTAGCAATTGGCAGGGGGTGGGAAGGAGCTGGAGCCAGCGCGGGGAATGCAAACCTGCTCCCTGGACCGAGGGCTCATGCGCCTGGCTGAGAGCAAACTGGGGCACTGGGAGGGAGCAGAAAGGCCCCGAGGCAGCCGGTGCTCAGTGAGCCCCTGATCGCAGCAAGGTGATTAATGCCCTTCTGCTCCCGTGCCTCGCTGCTCCGCTCCCGTGCGCTCAGCCCTGCTGCCTCGGCAGGTCCCGCACGGCGGGCACCAGGCAAGCGGCTTTGCAGGGACCGGTGCTTGGTTTGCAAGGTACAAAGGCAAGGATGGAGCTGGTGGTGCAGGGAAAGGGCAGGCCAGAGCCCGGACTCCAACCTAAGGACTTACCATTGGCCGGGAAATGGTCGATGAATGAATGCTGCGCCTGGGAGAAGGGGTTTTTGTCACCTTTCTTCCCAGAGGATCCCCAGCACTGGATCCCGATGCGTGTGGGAAAAAGGGATCCGCTGCCTGGGATCAGTGGGTTCTAGGAATCCCAGGGCAGGATGCATCTCCCCTCTGCTCTCCCATAGCCAGGGGCCACTTACCTGCTCCTGCTCCCCTGGCTCTGCCCCACACGTTACAAGGTGAGGTACAGCTTAAGTCGGTGAGTTGGAGCGAGTGGCCATTCTTATTACGGGAAGGTGAGAGGTTGAGATTTGCCTCTCCCAGAGGGGAACAAACCCTGTGCAGCACCCCGAGGGCACAGGAGCTGCTTCAGCCGGACACCAGAGGTCAAAGAGATGTTCAGAGGGCTCAGAAGAATGGGATCCCTTCCACAGGGCCATAAGAAACCCCTCGTCCCCTGGCAGCTTCGCACCGGGCAAAGCTCGCTCCGCACTGGGATTGCTGCAGGGCACTTCCTGCGAGCCATTAAAGCGAGCTGGGTAATTAATACCTTCCATGCATGAGGGAAACGAAAGGCAGGTGCGGGGAGGAGGGGAGCAGGAGGAGGCAGCTCAGGTTCGAGGGCACTCGGGGTTTTCCCTTCATGCCATGTTACTCCTTTGGAGCCTCCCGTACACTGCAGCATTCACACCTCTCGGGCACGTTATTAGCAGCCAGGTCCCGTGCAGCACCATGATGCTGTTGGACTGTGCCTCTCACTGCTGCCCGGGCACCCCGCAAAGCCAAGATCCTGCTGGGGCAGCTCCGCTGGCACCGGGCTCAGCACCAAGCTGCATCCTCCAAAACCCCCTCCAAAGCTGCCTGGCAGCAGAGGGTTGCGGGAAAGGCCCCTCAGTGCTAAGGAAAGCTCCATTTCAGCACCTTAAATACAGTTTCTTAACAAACAAAATGTTTATTTTCTAAATAATAATAGTAATAATCAAAAGAATCCCAGCCTCGGGGCATTTAGTGAACTGGCTGCAAGCTCATTGGAGCGTGTGTCCATTACCGGCCCCCGCTCCAAACCCCGCCACATCCCAATGCTTTTTTCCGGGAGAGTGAGTGACAGATCCTGATCGATGCTGATCTGGGTCTTAAATAAACACATTGGCCCTGGTTTGCCGGGGAAGAGCGAGGTGTCGGCATCTGGCTGACAGGCAGAGGGAGGGAAAACTGCCGAACGGGCCCTGCTTTGTGATGTGTTTTCTGTTCTATCCGCGCCGTGGCACGGGAGGCAGGCGAAAGCTGGGATGTGGCTGTTAGGAAGGTTTCAGGACAGCGGTTGGTTTGTGGTTTTCTCCTTTACCTTGTGTTTTCTCTAGGCAGGAAAGTAAGTGAGATGGAGTTCAAGTATTCGAATAGCATTGTCCTGCGTCAGACATCTCACTGCTGCCTGCTCAGAGCATCCAGCAGGGGAAGGTGCTTTCGTGTTGACAGTTGCCATCAAGAGCAAAGCCCTTTGATAATTTGCTGAGCTATCACAACACCCATCAACAAGAGCTCCAGGAAACCCTGAGATTCTTGGAAATGCAAACTGGAAAACTCCTCTTTAGCTTTTACACCAGCGTTACGTAGCCCTTAAAATCATTTTTTTTCCCTCTTTGAGCACCACTTTATCCAATCCATCAGTTCAATACATCCCCAACGCCCGTTTCTTGCTTTACTGCAGTGTCAGGCATCAGTATCAGGACAGCAGCAGATGAAGTTTGCTGCTGCACCAGCCCTGGCAATCTCCTCTGCACAGGGTGCAACTGAGGCCACCCCAAACGCTGCCGTGCACCCGTATCCTGGTGGCTCCTTCAGGAGGTGATTTCTTTATCGCTGCATCTGTGACCCCTGCGTTCCAAGCAGACCTCAGCCCGGTCAGCAGTGAAGGTGCTCTGACTCGAAGGTCACAAGTTACTGAGCCGAGCTGGGCAAGGAATTCCAGGAGAGCAGATTGGGATTGTTTTAATTAAAGGAAAGAGGCAGGGGAAGGGGGGCAAAGAAACACTTGAGCAGTCAAACCCTGTTTTCCCCTCGTGAAGATGACTGGTTTGAGGTAGGATTAAGAAGGCTGAAATTGTCTTTTTAAAGGAATGTAAATATATGGCAGTTGGAGTGATTGACAAATAAAGGGCGCTCTCCTTTAATTTAAATATGCTCCTAGTTTGTGCAGAATATGTTAATTTATACATTGCCTAAATAGCCAGTAGCTATTGTCTGTAAAACCACATCAGATCAGGGCAGCAGGGCAGTTAATGTACTGGCTAGATGTTATGGGTGGTCAGTGAAGCGATCCGAGCTTCCTTCCACTGGCTCCCAAGCCCTAAATGGAATAGCTGAGCTGTAAAAAACTGCCAGGGGCATAAACCGAAGCTCGTTCTGTCAGCCTTCAATAGGACGAGGGTTTTCATTCCCACAAGGACCCTCAGACAGAGCCCGGCTCCTGCACCCCGGTGACCCCAGGGCTGTTCCCCTTCTGCTGGGAGCCACAGAAGGATCCTCCGGAGCCCTGCAAGCCCCTGTGCCCCCCCAGAGTCGTGGGGTACCCACAGCCCAGCCCGGGAGCTGGGGGATGCAGAGGCTCTGCAGCTCCTTCCTCTGATACCGTGCTTCCCCTCGTGCCTCAGTTTCCCCATCGGCAGGCTCTCCTCCAGCTGTGCTTTTGACAGTGACATTTGACAGCCTCTGCCCCCCAAAAGAGCTGTGTGATCCATCCCTGACCTGCCTGTACCACTGCCTCCGTGTGCAGCCAGGACTTGGTCTGGTCACTGGAGCCCTCTGCAATGCCGAGAGGCTTCTAATGAACAGGACGCTGATGTTAATTAGGACAATCTTTCTCATCTCATCTAGATCTCTCCAGCAGCGCTCACCAGGGCAATGCTGCTTCCCTGGAGCCTCTGCTCACCCCGCAGCTCACACCCCAGGGGCTGCAGTGTCTCAGGGCAAGGGTCCTGGATGTCACCTTAGAGGCCCTGGAGCACACATTTATCTGAAGAGCCAAGTGGTCAGCACCGAGCCTCACACCCCAGGGGCTCCAGGAACGTGCTTCAGCCTTCCCAGTCTTCTCCTTTCATTTCCTGGACAAACCTCCCAGGCCCAGCAGGTGACTCCAAATGGGAATCTGGCCTCTTGCCTCCCACATCAGGCCACTAACCCAGCAATGTTATGGATTCATCTTGCTCCAGAAAAGTCCACCTTGTACATTCCCAATGCCTTCCCACAGATCAGCCTGGATTAAGTTTGGAGTGATGTGATAAGTAGTAATAATACTGCTGCCTTGCCCCTAATTATTTTCAATATAATTAGGTACCCTCAAGAAAGCTTTTAAAGAGCACATTCCCATCAGCGCTCTGGTCCAAGGGATTCATTTGTTTCTGGAAAGAAATACTCTTGGAGCTGAATCTTTCATTAGTCTTTGCTAGAGAGACTCCTGCTCAAGTCAGGAGGGTACGTGTGCCGTGTGCCGTGTGCCCTGCTTGAGGACGTGGGGTGATGCCCATCGAGCAGCTGGCCACCAAAGGAAGGTTTTTGCAAGCACCTCAGACTTTGTTGGCAGCATGTGGCACGTTAAAAAAGCCTGGATGTCTGCTGGAAAGTAGCACCAAAAGACTCTGAGTTTCACTGTCTTTTATCAGCTTATCATCCTTCCCTTTCCCATGTTCTAATCCCACAGAAGTGCTGCAGCCCTGAGGTATGAAACTAAAAAGAGGGATTAGATCCCTTGGCTGCTGAGCTCCAAACGTGAGGCTGTTTTCCTGGGATGTGCCCGAGCATGGGGAGGTGCAGCGTTGCCATTTCATCTTCTGGTGCTCTCCAAACCAGGTCGGTGTGAGGAGACCCCAGTGCCCGGTGGATGCGTGCCATGGCCGGTGCGCCCATGGGTGACTCCAGGCTGCGGCATGCAGACATGTGCCGACTTGGGATTAAACTGCAGCTCCATGTGAGGGTGGATGCTGTCGAGGGAAGCTTCCCAAGGCACACTCTGTGTCCGGGATAACTCTTTGCCTGTGCCACTGTGTGAGTGGGAGCTAAAGGTGCAAACTGGAAACAGGGAACCCACCGCATCCTGCCCTACCTTGAGCTCAAGGTTGGGAAGGAGCAGCAAGGAGCAGTGTGTTTGGAAGGGAGGAATTAAACGCATGCATTGACTTTAGGCAATGTGGTTTAAGGTAGTCCATGGTTTTTCCGAGCAAATTGACTCTTCCTTCAGGGTGCTCCCACAGGGGGTCCTCGCTGTGGGTTTTCCTGTGAGAACAAGATGTCCCTGGCTGCATTTTGCACTGTCCCAGTTACCTGCTGCCCTCCCATCCCACATCCTGGGGCTGGGATCCCCATGCATGCCCACAGCCCAAATCTGCCCAGATGTGCTCCCGCCTTCCCTGTTCCAACCTGTGGGATGCTCACAGCAGGATTTGGTTTGTGGGGTTTAAGCCATTCATGATCTTTTAAAGATGAAAAAGCTGTTTAAACGCATGTTCTCACATGAGCTTTTGTTTTATTTACTTGCTGGCACGATGAATGAGAGCCCATCTGGTCTTGGAGCCTTCAGAGGCTCTTCTGTGCCTAATGGGGTGTCCTGAGGCCCTGGACTCAGGGGGTTATTCCTAGTGAGTAAACCAATGCCTGCTAAACCAGGGACCAGGTTCAACAGCATTCCCCAGTTTGGATCCCTGAAATCCTTTTAGGAAAGGGAGAACTGTACCTGGGAAGCAAAAGGCCAGCCCATCCCTCTCCACGCATCCCCACGTAACCTTCATTGCAGACTGGTCCTTCTCGGCACCAGGGTTTGAAACCCCAGGATGAGTTTCCAGGGAAGTTTCCTCACTGAAATAGTTAATGAGGAATGGAACCATCCCCCATCCCGCTCCCCCCAGCTCCCCACCCCTCCCAACAAAAATCAGAATAATAATTAAAAGATGCCTAGAAACGCTCTTGGAAGAGCATAAATTCTGAAGATGAAAGTAAATGATTAAAATAATTAAATACTTCAAGTTGACAAGCAGAAGCAGAATCTTGCCAACGGACATTTGTCGGTAATTAGTTAATTAATCCTAACACAAATTATAAGCCATAACAAACCAGTGAGGCTGAACGCAGCCGGCTGTTCAGAATGAAACTTCGGAGGAGAGGGAGGGAGAGGAAGAAGAAAGAAAAGTTTGAAGGTTCTTGTGGATGCGAGGGAAGATGCTGGGCAGAAGCGGGGGTCCCCCTGGGAAGCGCAGTCAGGGATACGGGCTGGGGCAGGAGAGCAGCCACTGGAGCTCTCCCCTCCTCTGCTCTCAGGTGCTCCCACTTGTGCTGCCTGCTCAGCGCTTGGCTCTCCCTGCTCAGCTCCTCACCAGCCTGGACCAGGTTGGACACAGGGGCTTGGAGCAAGCTGCTCCAGTGGAAGGTGTCCCTGCCCGTGGCAGGAGTTGAAGATGGGTGAGCTTTAAGGTCCCTTCCAACCCAAACCATTCCATGATTCTGACTCTATGGACAGAACAAGGATGGGGAGGTGAGATCTGGGCTGGGCTGCAATCCCACCCAGCAGGAGCACAGCAGGATGCACAGGTCAGAATGGGCAGTACTGAGGACTCAGGGTTTTCACTGGTTTTCTGTGAGGAAACTTGGCACAAAGGCTTCTGATTTAGGAAGTGTTTTTAAGACAAGCTGAAAAAAGGAAGGTTTGTGCTTGGGAGCTGGATCCAGCCAGGAAAAGCCACTGCAAATGACACCAGGACATGGATGCGGTCAGCAGGGACCTGGCGTGAGCCTGACGGACTCCAAATTGCTGGAAAGATGGGGAAGACAGAGCCGCTGCTTTACCCTGTGCAAGGGGCAGAGGTTAATGACTGCAGGCTGGTTTCCCACCTCCGGTCACCTTAGCTCAAGTCCAATTATCAGCCCTAGATTAAGTGAGCCCGGTGCTGCACAGGGAAGGCACGGTGACTGACAGCTCATACACAGCACCGCACCTCTGCATTAACACATCGGGCTGGGACTGTAGGTGCACCAAGGGCCAGGCTTGGCCCTTCCTCCAGCATGAAGAAGCTCTTGATCAGGCAGGAGCTGGTTGATGCTCCCATGGACACAGCACAGGGACTCTTCTGTGGCCAAATGACAGCTGCCAACGCAGCGCAAGTGATAAATGGGACATCCAGGTTGCAAATGGGCTTTTATCAGTAAGGGGAAGAAGGCAGGAAATATCTGGAAAGAACACACAGATGCCAGGGAAGTGTGATTTTCCCACAGATTCCAGAGGAATCGCCTGATGTGCCACATCGGGGCGCGGATCATGTGAGTGGAAGTACGAGCATGTGAGCACCCATGACCATCTACTGATGTGTTGTGCACGCAGAGAAAGAGCTCAATTACAAGACAAGAACTTACCACCGAAGCCGTGAACCGCTCATCTTCTTTTGGCCAGCACCCTCTGAGATGCACGTGAAGAGGGCTCCTGTGTGCCACAGAATCTGTGCAGGGCTCTGCCAAAGAGAAAGTTTTGCTCCTCATGCGTGTATGCGCGTGTTCCAAGTGTTCTGCATTATGTGAGCTCTGACCTTCAGAGGGGAACAGAAGGAATATTTCCCCCCCTGCGGCTAGAGTTGTCAGTGAAATGTCTGTCTTCCTTAATAATTTCAATCTGGGTGACAGGGGACAGGGCATTTTGCTCTGAACGAACGCACTGTAAAAACTGTCAGATAGAATTTGTCTCAAGAAGCAACATTTCTCTCTATTCATGGTCATAATTGCAGGCATCTTATGACCTGTGCAGCAGCACATTTTGCTCAGCTGAAGAAAAGGAGACCTAAAATAGGTGGTTTGGTTGTTCTGCAGTGCTTTGGCTTAAACCTAAATGGATTCTAACAAGCACTGGGGATCTCCAGCAGAATGCTTCCATTTGCTTGGGTCTTTTCTCCTAAATCCAGAACAAACTGGGCACAGAAGTGACGTAGCAGAAAAGAAGGACTATAAATTGCCATTCACTGGGCTGGTGTAATGGCCTATTTCATCCTGTATCCTGTCTCCTAACTGCCTGCCTCTCTGAATTTCCTCTGAACTGACAGTGGCCAGCGTCTTTTTAATGCACTGAATAAGTAACTAAATGGGTAATTAACCAAATGAGCATGACGATAATTTGATTGTGCTTTCCTCACTTTTAAAGCACAGGAAATAGTAAGACAAGTAATAATCCAGTGACCAGCAGGAATCCAAAGAGGAGAGCTCGAGGAGCTGGGGGGAGCTTTGGTTAGGTGTTGCTGCCTCTGAATCTCCCACAACACTGCAGAAATCTGTTTGTTCTGTTAAACATTTGGATTTCTTGCTTTGTGCCTCCTCAGTGGGGAACAGAAATCAATCCAGTGACCTGAAGCAGCTTTCCTTTTTATGCTTCAGTTCTACAATTAGCAATGGTTAGGGAAGAGATCATCCTGCTGGACCCGCTGTGTGGTTATGGGTCACACCCCACTCAAATCTAGACACTGTACTGGGATCACCAACCTGGTTTTGTGTAACTGCTTTTGCAATATCAGCCTGCAGTGCCTGTGGCTTCCCTGCCTCGCCAAGAAGGTCTGAGCACAAATTAAACTGGGAGAAGGAACCAGAAGCTACCGCAGTGGGAAGCAGCTGCAATGCTCCGCACTGCTGGGGAGGCTCCAGAAATGGGAAAACTGGGAAATAACACTCCCTGTCCCAGGCATCCCAACTGCTTGCAGTGAGCACCCTCCTGCCCACCGCAAGGAGACAATGATGGCCACTGATGATGCTGAGGAAGGAGCATCCCACCGAGGAGCGGGGCCCCAGCTGGTCTCTGGAACGTTCTCACCTGCAAGATCAATCCTGCCAGAGCCACGCAGGCTGTAAGCCGCTGAGGGCACACGGCAGGTTACAATCCATTTTCACCTGCACACTCCAATGGATGCCCCATTCTTGCCATCGCAGGTGGAGGGTAAACACTGTGCGATGGACCTGGGAAGCAGGGGCTGCTGTGGGATGCCTGCAGCACTGATGCTGCCGGGAACTGACATTTCCTGACAAGTCTGGTAGGAAAGAGGGCTCAGGGAGGAGTTTTGGTGGTGGTGGGTGCAGGGGACACACTCCCTCACACTGATCTCAGCCTGGGAGATGGCAGGAGAGGTGAATGGGGGCTCCTGAGTTCAGAGCAACCCCTCTGCAGAGCTGCTGTACACCTGAAGCAATCCCTGCAGGGCGATGCTAACAATCCGCTCTGCATCCCAGGACATCCAGGCTCATCGTTTAAACACCACTGGCAAAACCCCTCCATCCAGGCGGTGTTTAACACCCATCTGTCAAAACAAACACCTGAAAGACAGACTTCAACTTCCACTAGCTGAAACTTCAGCAAGAGCTGCTCTCCAGAGGCATCCTGGTGGGGAGGACACAGCCAGATAGAATGGCACCAGGGCTGGCCACCAGTGTGGCCATGGGAGGACAATGCAAGGTCTGTCCCTGCCCATCCCTAAGGAGAATCTGTTAAACTATACCATGTTTAAGCCCATAGAAAGTCATCTTGAGGAGCTCTGTGGAGCCCAGACAGGGAGATTAGGAGCAAAGCTCCATGTAAGCCTTGCAGAGTTCATTCTGGGGTTGTGTGAGCCAAATGGCATGCTTCAGCAGCTAGAGGGGAGGCCAGAGAAATCAAGACATTTCTACTCGTATCCAGTCCGCTGACCTGCCCTGTGATCTCCACTAAATCACTTCTCCTCTCTGTGCCTTCATTTCCTGCACCTGAAACAGCAGGAGCATGAGGATTCTTTTCTTTTCTGGGAAGCAGGAAAACTTGTCTAGGCTTTATAGTAACTGTAACATCATCTTCACTAATACTGTATAGAGACAGATGACAGCAAAGGGCAAAAGCCAGTGCAAACAATCTCTAGAATGAAAAACACCCCCTGCACCGCAGTCATGCATCATACCCCAGCCCCACACTGCTGAGCTGCCTTGTGAGCCAGGGACAGGACCAAAAGCTGAGCCCAGATGCTTCAGGCCAGCACTGCTCAGCTTTGGTTTAGCACAGGTAGCTCAGTACGGGGAGGGTTGTACATAGGCTGCTTGGCATCCCTGTGCTACTTACAGCTTTTATTACTGGAGTAACCCCACCAAGGCTGTGTAGCACACATGTACAAATACACGTAGCTGCAACAAAATAGGAACAATCAATTTCAAGACATAGAATCATGTCATAGAACACCAGGTTGGAATGGACCTCAAGGATCACCTAGTCCTACCTTTCCAGGCAAAGCATGACCTAGACTAGATAACAGACATACTGCACCTTTAATGGTGAAAGATAGTCCCCATTTCCTGCCAGGCAGAGATGCCCCACTGTCCTTCTTACTCTGATGTACTGCCAAAGTGCCTGCACCCTGGGAAAACAGGTAGGTGTGTATTGGATGCACGCGTGTTTCCTAAACGGGGAAATTCAATCTGTCAAGAAAATTCAATAACATCCTTATCATTTAATTGTACCCTAGGGCCCAATAAAAATCAACGAGGTTGGGAGCTGTTGATTTTTTGTTAACCTTCTCTTAAAAAGGTCTCAAAAAATAGCTGTTTAGAGAGACTAGCTCTATGTACATGTGCAATATGGATGGCGATGGATAGGGAAAAATGTGTTTAAAACTTAAGATTGGATCCACATAGAGAATACTTAAACACTGGCACTGAGCTTGGCCATTGTTAGGCAAAAGAAAACGTCCTGTTTTGATTTATTCACGCAGCACTCAATTTAACAAGTGTAGCTACAGGCAATTGGAAAACAGTCAAAATGGTGAATTTGCTGCTTACACTCATTTATACTGTTTCCTGAAGACAATTTGCTTTGCTTTTTGGCATGCCTAGTATTTTTTAAACCACACAAAGGTTATGCCCAGTTCTCATAATTACACAGTGACTTTTTTGGTTATAGGTGCAGTTGGGTGTTTGCCATGGGCTGAGCATCCAGAGTTTTATCTCCTGGGGCTGTCTCCTTCATGGCAACTGCCGGGGGGGGTTTAATGCTCCGGTGGCCCCTTTCATCATGAGGGGCTGGGTCTTTGTGGGGCTGCACTTAGTGAATGTATTAGATGGGGCTCAGGCAGGGGCAGAGTCTAATCAATAAACCAAGTACCAGTCGGAGTCGTGCCGCTCGTCAGGATGGCGCCTGGAGTGAGACAATGTCCAAGCAATTAGAGGAGTTGTTTTGTTTCTCTTGTTATTAATTATCTACATTACAGCCACACCTGGAAGCTTCTGGGTGCTGCACTTAAGCACTTTCTTTGCCCCGAGAAATTTAAGTAGCTTGAGAACCTGGGAGGAGGGGGAAGAAAGGAATAGCAGAGAACAGCGGCTGCCAGAACCCGCTGCCAGCCAGGTGATGAAACCCAGGGTGTCCATCTGAGCTCAAGGAGCACCTCTGAAGCCATCAACTGATAGGAAAATTGGAGGTGTATCTGCGCCACAGCTTCCCCTTGGTGGCTGGCACGGGCATGTCAGTCAGGGAACAGAATGCTCCGCTGGCTCAGCGGGTGAGCCAAGCCACGGCTTGCCCCTTTGGCTGCCGGGCTCGGCTCGGGACCGTGCCCGGGGGGCAGGAGGGATCCTGCACTTGCTGAGCACGCAGTCACAGCTCCCCGCTGGAGCCCGGCTGGCCGCGGGCACCGACCGCGCTGGGAGCTGCGGGAAGCGCCACGCAGCAGCGCGGAGCTCAGCCCTGCGCACAGCCAGCACCGCTCGCTATTCCCAACACACGGAGGTGGGCAGCAATTAAACCCATTAAATCCATTGCTCCTGGAAGGATTTCACTGTCTCAGCAGCTCAGCTCTCTTCGACTACAGAGATCAGGGGCTGGTACTTATTCCGTTAGTGTGCCTGCTGCCGTACAAGGAGGGTTCAGGATGTACAGAGTGGGATGCGCCAGCACCACCGCTCCATTGAGCCTCTGCCTTGGAATCGTGCTTTATACTACCGAACACCGCACGTTTCGGCCAGGAATGGCACCAAAGACTGGCAGGAACCAAAACCCCAGGACCCCTGCCAGGAGACCCAAGTCTGCCTGAAGCCTCGCCGAGGGCTGAGCCCCCCCGGCACGGGCACAGGTCCCTACAGGCCCCGCAGGTCGCTGACAAACACCCCCCCTCCAGCGCCAGCCCCGGGATAAAGCTGGAACCGGGATAAAACGGGAACCGACAACGCAGGGAGCGCTTCTCGCTCCGCCCACTGTCTAGTCACGTGACGGTGGCGTCATCAGTGCGCGCCGCGGCGCGGGTGCGCGGGGAGGAGGCGGCGGCGCTTCGCTGTGTCACGGTGCGGGCGGAGGGGACGCGGCCGCCATGGAGTACCTGATCGGCATCCAGGGCCCCGACTACGTGCTGGTGGCTGCGGACACGGTGGCGGCCTCCAGCATCGTCCAGATGAAGCACGGTGAGAGGCGGGGGGGGGGGTGGCCTGTGCGGGCCATGGCTCCAGCCGTGGGTGAGCGGGCAGCGGTGGGGAGGCCCCGAGCCTGTGGCGCTGGGATGCTGTTACATTGGGGGGGGAGTGCAGGTAAACGCTGCCGGGTGTTCGTTTATAGTTGGGTGTTTTCGTTGTAGGGGCAGCTGAGCGAGCCCAGTCTGAAAGGGCCGGTTGCTTGGAGTAGTTTCCAAGCCTAAACCAATACCACTGTTGGGTTGCCGTGTTAATTTACCGGTTTGGGTAAGCGGTGACTTGTCAGCCCAAATACCGCCATATGGATGGGTTAAAATCACCGCAGGGATAGCGAAGGGTGAGATTCAGTGCTTGGTTGTGTCTCGTTCACTGGTAAAATGTCATTCATGTTAAAAAGGTGCTCTTTGTTCGAAGTAAAAGCATCAGTGAACTTCTTAGCACGAGGCATGTGAGTGAAGCTATAATATATATCTGACTTCTTTATGTGGTCAAATATCCGGGGCATTATGTCTGGTATAGTGTGAGGTCTCCCTGCCCAAAGCAGGGGGTTGGAACTAGATGGTCTTAAGGTCCTTTCCAACCCTAACTATTCTATGATTCTATGATTACCAAGCCTCTGAAATGCGCTGAAAGCAATTTTCCTACTTACTATTGGACTAATCTAGACTGAAGCTTGTTTGCAAGGTTTATTGAACTTTCCAAGCTAAATACTGCACTTTAGAAGCACTTAAAAACACCTTAAACAACTGTCAGCACATTTTAGATGTGATATTGATGAACTGCATCATCACAAACCCATGAATGCTAGCTATAGCAGTGCTTTTACCTAGAATACTTCTCTTCAGGCCATTGGAATGGTGTTAGAAAGATGGTTGTGAAAGGTGGTGGCACATACACAATATAAATATAATCATTGCAACCTATGTTTTGTAAGTTAACATTAGTTCCAAATAGCTTTATTTATAAACTTTAAGGGAAATGTATTTAAAACATAGGGTTTATTTGTCTCTTTAGGGAGGAAAAACCCCACAGAAATTTCAGGTATTTAAGGTATCCACATTTACTAATACTTAAATTTGTAACTAGATTGCAAGGGCTGATCGGTGTCAATGACTTCCCTAAACTCTCAAGACATGCAGCTTCTGCACACTGCTGGATGTTCTGCTAGCTCCTGACTGTGACACCTCCTACCTGCCTCCCAGCAGAGGTTATTCAGCAGCATTTAGTGAGCTGAAAGCAAAGCACAGAGGTGGGGGTTTAATGCTGTTTTGTAGGCTCCCATCAGCACACAGAAGTGATCTTCCTTTCGCACTACTGGGTACCAGGGTTCTTCTGTCTTGGTGATGTGAGTGCCCAGGAAGCACCGCATATAATGTTTAACTTTGCATCAACACAATAGTCTTTGTGGAGCTCTAGTCTTTGTATAAGAAAGAGCATGGATTTCTGAAGTGCCTCCCTTGCTGAAGGAAGCACTTTGTGCATTCCAGCTTTGTTTCTCTCAGTGATGTGTTTAGCAAGTGTTGTGTACTGTGCCACCATCTGTGTGCTCAACTGAGTGCTAGGAGCACCTTTTGTTAGCCCTCCAGGTCATACTGTAGTTATCTGAGTCTTACTTTCTTGCTTCTGAAAGAAGCCATGATGTGTTATGATATTGGGGAAAATAATTTATTCTTTCTCATGACCATGTTATTTTTCTTTGCTTAGACCATGACAAAATGTTTAAGATGAGTGAAAAAATCTTACTCCTGTGTGTTGGGGAGGCTGGAGACACTGTACAGTTTGCAGAATACATCCAGAAGAATGTTCAGCTCTACAAAATGAGAAATGGTGAGTGAAGTAGAACAGTTACTCGCTGAGGGTTTGGAAGCAGAGTTAATGATAGGTGCAGTTTACAGCTGATTATTCCTCAAAGCTTCTCGAGCTTTAAGGATTTCAGCTTTTTTTAGTGTTGAGTAGAGGTGGTAATGAAGCCAGGATTTAAAAATGGCAATTATATAGTGCAAACAGAGAGGCTTATCCAAAGCCCGGTTGGCCTATTTGTGATGTAAATGGCACAATAATAGGTTTGTTAGGAAAATATTTCTCTTACTCTGTCTGTTGTGTGACACCTGTTACTGGTTTTCTTGATACATTGGACTGAAAAATTCAGGCTGCAGCCCATGGTATTTTAGCTTTTGAAGCTGTATTTTAATGGTCTACACAGATATGACCTGCCTGGATTTTGAGGGCCCTCTTTAAGCTCGTAGCTGTCAGAACAAACTGTAATTAGGCAAATGGCTTAAGATTTTGTTACCAAAGACTGTCTTTGCTATTTCAAAATAAGGAAGTGAAGCATAAATATGGATTTGTACAGTTATCAAATACACACATTTCTTCTCCAGGTTATGAATTGTCTCCTACTGCAGCTGCAAACTTTACACGGCGCAACCTCGCTGACTATCTTCGGAGTCGAGTGAGTAAGAGCTGAAAGATTTTGGCAAAGGCTTACAGGGGAAAATTCCCATTTTCAAGTAATGGAGCCTGATGAAAAAGGTGGCAGCTCCTGTCTTTACTGATGAATTCACTTTGAAAGGATGTTTTATTAAAATATGACTTGTTTGCTTATTTAAAAAACTTACCACTTACCATTAACTGGTACAACTGCAGTCTTAAAATTCCAGCCTTGGGCCCAAGAAATGTTTTGTCACCAGTGCTGCAGACAGTGGCGTGAATCCAGCCTCTTTAACGTCGAGATAAGGTTGCCGGTTTTCATGCAAATGCACTGAATCCATTTAATCTTCTTGGAAAATGATTTAATAGAGCCAAGCTGTTTGATGTACTTAGCAAAACAAGCCCCTTTTGTAAACAGCAACATGAGGCTTTCCATAAATATCAAATCCAAGTTACTAAACTGCAATTACTGATTTTTCTCATGGTAATTTGTTCAAAGTATGAAAAGACATCATGAAGAGGCAGATGGGCTTTGAAAGGTCCAAGGTTAGGAAGCATTTCACTGGCATTCTTCTCAGCATGCTGTATGAAAGAAAACAAGAAAGAATGGGATGCTGAGAATGAAGTTGCTCTGTCAGGGACAGTATGTGGGATAAATCATGTTGCTGTTCTGACTACGCTGTGTGTACAGTAACAAACGAAGGCCAGGACTAACGTAAGAGCTGTATTGTTGAGTGACGTGTGTGGAGCGCAGCTTGCATCCTTCTGCAAGAACTTTGGGAACAGCCAGAGGTCATTTCTCTAACTTTTGACATGGGTCACAGCTGCAGGTAGCAAGTTTTTAAAGTCAGAGCAAGTCAGTACAACTTGGTGCAGGGTCCTGCCTCAGGCTCATACATGAAACTCTTCTGGTTTAAATGACTTCAGCCAACTGTGTGGATTAAGCGTGGTTGGAAGGTGACGGCTGGCAGTGATGCTGCTTGCTTTAGCTTTTGTTCAGATGTGATTTGTAAGCCTGTGTGTGTTTTGTGGAATTTGGTGTAGTTTTTGAAGTTGACTTGAAGGAGCTGTGCTGCTTGATGCCTGGCCCAGAGGGCCATTGTCTGCCTGGTGCTAGTGGCTGTCTTGGGGCATCTGATCTGCACAGATGATGTAGGTGAGGCTGACACCGAATGTCCTGCCTGCTTAAGCACAGGCAGCTATTTCTTGTATATGATTTAAAGTACCTCTAACGAGAGTAATTTAACAGGGTTTTTGTTAAAGTGGGCCAGCAGGATGTGGCATAGATGTGGTACTGTTGTCTTCCTCTGTGCTGTGTCCCTTGAGGCCTGATCCTCTGTGTCTCCCCTCCTTCCTGAGCCCATGCCTGCCTTCCAGCTCACCTGCTCCAGATGGGCAGCACAGTGGGAGGACACTGGCAAAGGCAGATGTGTTTATTTACCGGAGACAAAATGTTGTTGTGTTGCAGATGGCAATGCCCTGGAGCAAGTGGAGCACTCTGACTCTACTGTCACACTACAGTGATCTCTGTACTGTAGGGAGAACTCCTTTTCTTTAAACATAGCACTTAATGATTTGTTTGTGGGATTCAGAATTTGATGATACAAACCTTGCCATCAGATTTTTTTTTCCCTGTGAATTTTGTTACATTTGTGGAATACCAGAAGGATTAACACCAGCACTCTCTATCTATTTAAATTGCATATAGGATTCCTGGAGGCTGCTAATTATGTGGGTGATAAAAAAAAATGGAAAGGTAAAACATGCCACTGCTTCCTGTTAGGAGTAAGAAAATAGTTTAGAAGTAGAAAGTTTGTTGAGAGAAAAGGTGGTTTGTTGCTGTGTTGCTGCTCACCGTGTGAAGCTGTGATGGAAAGCTGGAAGGAGTGTGGAGGGTGGCTAACACTGAAGCAGCACTTTTTCAGACAGGATACTGTTGTTGTGGCCCAGCCCAAAACAGAGCTTGTTCTGCATTGTTAATCACCATCTGTGTTATCTAGCTTGGTTTTGTTTATGAACATTGTGGCTCATACAGGCCAAGTTTCTGGTATCTTGGGGGTGGCTGCCTTGTAAGGCAGCGCCTTGAAGTTGCTCTTTTGGTAGAAGTGTCAAGTGTAATGATACTGGCCTTGTGACTTAAGGCCATTTCATTACTGTGCTCTTTTTTACTGAATAGTCAACATGTGGCTTTGCATGACATTTTGTTTTTTAAAGCAAGGGGTTTATGCTCCAGAGCAGGATCTGAAAAGAGTCTTTGATTTCCATTTATGTGTTGCAATTGAAGCAAACTTAGAACCTGCTTTGTTCCCAACTGTCTTTTGCATAGGTGAGTGATGCTGTAGCTCCTCTTCTTCTATACCTACTTCAGTACCTCACTTGATTCACCTGCTGATTTGAGTACCAGGTTTAGCACATATAACATACTACTTAGGTTAGATGGAGGTAGGGAATAGGAAAAATACCCACCTTGCCTCTTCAAACCCAATGAAGTTCAGTGTCTTGTTGTGATGCTATGTTTAATTGTAGGTGACAGGGTCTGGCCTGAGTCCAGAGGAAGACTGCCAGTTCCTTTCTCCTTGTCCACGCTTGGCAGGATGCTTCCTTGTGCCCACCTTTCCCCTTTGCTGTGACTTTGGCTTCTGCCAGATGTCACGCCACTGCTTGTCACCGCCCGGCCTCCTGCTGCTGGTCTGGTTGCTTTAGAGTATTTATCACAACTGTTCTCTTCTGCTGGAAATTCTGGAGAATTTCACACATCCCTTAATTGCTGTAGTTATTTTAAATCAAACAGCGTAAAGTGCAAAGCTACTTGGGATGTGAAATAGTGCCTCTAATAGGAAGGTAAGTTTGGGGGGTGGGGAGATCTGATTGATCCTGGGGTGTTGTTCATCTGCTCATTTGGTAGCCATTGCATCACAGCAGTCTTCTAAGGAGTGTAGAACACTTGGCATGGATGTAGTTACAAAAGCCAAGGCTGCCTTTGGAATGGACAAAAGGACAAGGAATACCCGTCCCAGCATGAACATGTTAGTGCCACTGAGCACTAAGAGAGGCTGTCTGCAAATTTCATTTATAATAATGGAACTAGTAAAGGCATCATGGATATTTCCTTATGGTTAAATCCTGCCTTTCTTGAAGAATAGGAAGGCATGGGAGCTTTAAGTAGTCTGATAGAATATTAGCAGGAGAACTTACAACTGAAAAGCAGCTTACAGATTTGTTTAAGTCTATATAACACCATTTATTTATGGTTGAGTATCTCACATATGCCAGTGTTGGTAATTCGAAGTCACACAGTAAGTTGAATGATCTTCTGTCATGGCTCTTAAATATCAACTTGTGTGATGTTTCAGAGTAAATAAATGATGAAATAGAGACTAATTAAAGGAATACAGCTGCATGGTAACTTGCTTCCAAGTATTCTTGAATGCTTTGAAGATAAAATCACACAGTTTACAGTGATATCTTTGACATATAACTGTAGCCTCCTTTATTATTTGTTACCATCTAGTCAAAGTAAAAGTACTCTATCCTATGATACTTTTGGGGTTTTGTTGTTGTTTTTTTTTGAGTACAAATTGAGTGGTTTTGGTATCAAAATGAACTTTTTCCAATTACAGTGTTTTGGCTTTAGGGGGAAATTGTGTTTGTGTGTTTTAGTCTATTGTTGGTTGCATCATATTTTTTTTCTTGTTGCTTTGTTGATCTAGGCTTTCCAGCATTTTAAGAAATATCCTGTTAGTATGATTAATTTAATAAGAAACATTTTGTAGATAGGAAAATACTGGAAGTATATAAAAGCTGTTTTAAAAAAATGTATATATGCAATTCCAAAATCTTCTTTGAGCCTACATGTAAAAATAACACAGTGCAGGCACGTTTCATGATCTTACAAAGTACACATCTTGGAAGAAGATGTACAGAGACATCTGCTTTATTCATTATGGTGGAACACACTAAACCTGTACCATGAAGGAAACGGCTAAGGAATTGCTAAACTTCCAAGTACACCAGGATAGAAAGGCATGGCTACATTAATGTGGTTACAAGGAAAAGATGTTGATATTTCCCAACCATATTTGATAGGCTCTTGCTGAAGTTTATGACTTCATAATCAGAGAGGACAGCAGCTAAATTTCTAGTATGAGAAAACTGTTTCCAGCCAAACAGAAATGCTACTGAAATGGGATGTTGCAGTATCTTAGTAGTCGGATTTGAACAGAAATAAACCGATTCCACAGATCTTCTTCATTCACGTGGTCAAGTTAGGTTAATATTAAAGATTAAAAACCTGCAATAAAAATCTAACTGCCAGTTAACAAGACAGTGTAACACTGTGTGTAACTGTTTGCACTGTATGTGAGCTTTCATATATGCTAAAAGAGCTCTGGTTAACAGTTGTGTGACTGAGAAAAGAGCATGCTAAATTAACAAAAGAGTTCTTAGAAAGTGCAAAATGTTCACGTTGTGCTCACATGTTGACAGTAAAACTCAGCAAGTTTTATGCTGAGATGAAAGAATCCGGTGTGAAAACATAATTAAAGTTTTCTTAAGTTTGAATGTGCCGTGAAAGCTCTTAAAAAAAACCCAGACATGCTCGTTTTCAGGAGAACCAAAGTTTCATGTTTTTTATTTGCTTCTGCATCCCATGTTGCCAAAAGACCCAATCAGTTTGGTTTGAGACTGTAATCTCCTGCAGACAGTATTGGTATAGATACTAGTAGCATTTTATGACAAAGAGTTGTGAAATCAGCTGTGTTGCTGTTCTGTAGGTGGCAGGGGATTAAGATTCAAAGCTTTAGGAGTGGCTGCTTTAATGCAAACGTGGTTTCTGTTTGTAGACCCCTTATCATGTCAACCTTCTCCTGGCTGGCTATGACGACCAGGAAGGCCCTTCCCTTTACTACATGGACTACCTGGCGGCTCTGGCTAAAGCTCCTTTTGCAGCACATGGATATGGTGCATTCCTTACGCTCAGCATCCTTGACCGCTATTACAAGCCAGGTAAGGGGTGTACAGAGAAGAAATATCTCCTGTCACCAACTGATAAATTAAAGGCTTAAACTGAAAGATAGGCGTTTGCTGAGTGCAATTGCTGATTTGAACATGGCTTTTTGTTAGAATAAATGTAGCTTTAAAGACTGCCTTCTGGTTTTGCTGAAATGGTAACATGAAACTAGTCAACTCCTTAAAGTGTTTTCCTGTTTGAGGCATAACAAGCTGTAAGTGAAGGAAGTTTCAGTTTACTGTAAAACATGACTAGACTTCCCTGGACCATTAGCTGCTAGTAGTCTGTCTTTAATAGCATTTTGATAACTTTATCTTCTACTTGCTTGTCTGTTGGCTATGACATACATGTTCTCCCAGAGTACCAATCTTCAGAGGGCAGTCCGAGGTCCTGTTGCTCCATATCTTGGATTGGCTTTTTGTGTGATAGATTAAAAACATACAAGTGAGAAGATACTCTTAGCAAGATTATCTTCATTACTTTGGAGTGGTGGTGATGAAGATTGGTTGGTTTAGTTTTATGCGTGTGGTAGCTGTTCATCATAATTGTTGTACATGTCTGTACCTGTCTGAAGTTTTAATTTCAGAATCCTAATCCAGTTCTTAATAACCCCATCCTCACTTTACAGATGAGAAAGTGTACAAAACTGGGAATATTGTTAATCTGACATCTTTTGGCTTTAGCTACAAAACTGCTTTGCTCCTGTGTGCAAAGCTGAGTTTCCTGGTTTAGTAATCCTTTCATCTCTCCTGCAAGAAGTGTAGCTGTCAGTTTTACTCTAATGGGGCTTCTGCCTGAACAGTGGATGCAGATCCAGAACAAACTCTAGAAACAAGTTTTGAGAGACTCACAGGACTTCGTTGTTTTGTAGTCAGGTCCCTTGAAAATTCAACTGCTCCATTTTCACCATTCCTTGTGAAAAGAGAAAAACAGTGAGCTACAATACATTGTCATGGCTTGACATCCCTATAGAGCACTGGATTTCATCCTAACATGTGAGAATAGCAGGGGCATCACACACGTGCCTTTCCCATTATTAAAGCTAATACCCAGCAGGGAAGGCAGCACTAAAATCAGTCTCTACCTACTGTCCCTGACTTACAGCCGGCTGTGGACAGATGGAGCTGATTTGAAACTGTAATAAACTGGAGGAGGGAGAGACGTCCGGCCTTCTCCGGAGCCTGGTCCCTGGCCATGGGAGGCAGAATTCCGTCATGCTTCCTATTCAGTGTAACAAATCGATTCTCAATGGCTTGTTGCAGTGTGAGCGCTTCGGTGCAGGGCATCCTTGGTACATCTGGAAAGTGTTTTCTGTGAGCTGGGAAGGAGAGGGTTTGGTGCTCAGCTGAACAGTTGTTTAAATTTAATAAAGTTTCTGTTGGGGGAGATGGCCTCTAATGAAATCAATCTGTGGATGTTTTCTCTTTCAGGTATGACACGTGAGGAAGCCGTGGAGCTCCTAAAGAAATGTCTAGAGGAGGTGAGTTGCCAAACTTAGACCCTTGTGATCTTGAGAAAGGAACGTTTGTTTGCATTCATTTGCTGATATTTTCCTCTTCCTCTTGTCGCATTTTTTGGCTGCCTTTGCCAGAAGGGGTAACAGACGTACACTGACCAGATGTGGGAGAGCTACTGAGGATTTGTGGGCCCTTGCATTGTCTTAGCATGGTTCATGTCCTTCAGAACATAAACTTGAAGCTTTTCTTTACTTCTGCTTCTTCCATGCTTAGCATAATATTGATACTGTCTATAACTGGGGTTTCTTTTTTTTCTGAGCATAACTCAAGCATCCTTTTGTGACATGTATTGCATTTTGTGCCTCTTCCAGCTTGTGAAGTGGTATCTGAGGCGAAGCTTTGACCTTAAAGTTCGTGATCAATTTTAGTGCAGGCATACCCTTTCAGCCTCGGAGGCTTTTATTGTAGGAAAATGTCCTTTATTGTTGTATTTAAGAGATTGAATTGAATGTAACTGGGAAGAAACCTCTGGGGAAACAGCACGAAGAAGTCCTTTAAAGAGGTTCTATTTGAAGTACCTTTGATACATACACTTTGTGTCCTAAGTTGTAGCCCACTCTGGTCTTGTGTTAACATCTTCCTTGTTAACAGGATTGTGTATTTTCCACCTCCAGCCTAGGCTTAGTCTTGCCACAGAGACCAAACTTGGGCTAACTGATACCTGAGCAGTGAAGAAATCACTAGTTCCTAATATTTCAGGCCATTAGAACCTGAATGGAAATGTTGATGTACAGCAGCATATCCCTGAAACTGTGCTCTCCTCTTTTGAATCTCACCTTTTGTCTTTTTGTCTTCTGTTAAACAGCTTCAGAAACGCTTCATCCTCAATCTGGCTTCTTTCACTGCCCGGTTCATTGACAAAGATGGCATCCACGACATGGAAAAAATACCCCTTCCAAAAGCGACGTCCTAACCTCTCAGATCTTTCTTCAGCAGTCTCTGTCTTTTTTTTTTGTTCACTTCTGGGTGTTTTTCTATTCACTTGGAGCACACAAGTCATGTACTGCACTGGGAGATTGAATAAAGATTGACATTTATATAGCCAGTTTTATCTTTTTATTCCACTGATCCTTCCTGAGAGTATTTTAAGTAAATTGTTCCACAGAGAAGGTGAAACTTGATTTACTGGTAATGGGTGCACATGCAGGTTACTTACCTTTCCTCTTCTCAGATTTCACCCCCCAAGTGTTCTTATGTATGGAAAAACCTGGTAGTATATTTTCTAGATGACTGTGCTGTCACCCACTCAAAATTAGAGCTCATCAAACACCAGGCAAGTGTTTCATGCTAAACATAGAGCATCTACTTTATTTTTCCTAAGATGTCACCACTGTTTGCTTTAGAAAACAATAATCATGAGGTTTTCAAAGGCTTAATTTACTTCTGTTATACTTTGTTTCAGTCTGATCCAAGTGGAAGGTGAAAGAAAAGATATTTAAGTAGAAAGGATTTTAAAATATTAGTGTCATTTTAACTCACCTGGCCATGGTTGTGTTACTGGGAAAGAATATTCTCCTGCTGGAACAGTAGGCTCATAACTACCTTAAATATTTTAAATGTAAGCTGATGTATCAGTTGTGTGATTTAATTTTTTTCTTAGTTGATGTGTCTGTACATTTAGAAGTACATGAAAGCAGTTCAATGAGAAATAAAACTGCAGCACTTCTCATGAATCTCTGAATTACAACAGGCTAGAGCTTTGTCTCCATGAGAATAATCACTGATCTGTCTTGGCTCTAGATGATGCTTCCATATAAAAACTCCATTCAGAGAACAGCCTCAGATAATTATCATGTGCCTGATCCTTGCAGTCTGCCCAGAAGTGATTTTTCTGAGAGCAGTTTTCATCACTTCCCTACTTGAATTTGCATTGAGTTAGCCATTTCAAGTGCTCTGTTTGGTTCCTTGTTTCATGTTTGAATAAGCTTGTAAATAGAAGGATGGATGTGTACATGATGATGTACACAGTGTGTGTACTTGTGTGGCATGGCCTAACACCTCTGTTCTCAGTTGGGAAAGGTAAGCAACAGACCTAACTATTCTAGTTGTTGAAGCTTTTTTGGTCTTGCCTAAGTGTGCGTTTGAGAATGTTTGTGTCTCCCACAAAAAGTTGTCAGTAAAGACCAAATATTCCCATCTTACTGGCCAGGTGAGAACTGGATTAGAGACTGGGAATCGCTTCATGTTACAGAAGAAATGTGCAGCTCCAGTGCCTTAACTCATCCTGCCCTTACTTAAATCAAATTCTTACATTCCATCAGGCTTTGTAGTTTAATTCTTTCCAGAACGAGTTTAATTATCAGCTGGTTTTGTTGTAGTCACGGCTGCAATGGCTTTTATTTAAGGCCAGTGGTAGATAACTGAAACATTTTGCTAAAATTGACTTTGTCTTTTAAAAACCTTTTCAGACTTTTGTACACTGAGAAAAGTCATCCCCTGCCTCATGATTTTCTCTTGGCAGGTCACATTTAACATGAGTAGAGCCTGCATGTTCCAGTTCTCTGATTGAAATCTCACCCCTTCATGTTGCATTAATGTATTTGTTTAGCTTAATATGCAGCATCTCTAATTTATTTTACCACTGATGTTGAATGTTTTTGCAGGTTTCTTGTCTCTTTTCAAAGCCATCGTTGCAGAGGGGCTGAGCTGATGTGAAGTTTTTGTCACTGCATATCAAAGTGGTGATGTCTCCTTATTGGAGGTATTCATTATTTCAGACACCAAACCTGGGGCGTGGTGCTGTGAGATTGAGTCTGGCAGAGAATCTGCCTGGAGTTTTTATTGGCACCTATTTGCATGCAGGTGATTAATAAACATAAAACAATTATTCCCTTGCAAACAGCCTTGCTGGATTCAGGTCAGAGTGGAACATATGTTTTGCCTGAGGGCAGGGCCCAGGATCTGAATCCCCCATTGAGTGAAGATCCAAGGGGTTGCATCAGAAGCCAACAGAGCAGCAACCTCCAGGAATGAATAAATACAGACCTTTATTTCAAACCAGCAGAACAAAAGAATTGGCCCACAGTGGGGTTTGACTGTGGCCTCTAATGAAGTGGATCCTTTTAAGGTCTTTCCAGGAATTTACACTTTTTAAGGAAAGGTACGATATTCCTGCTGTGTAACTTTGGATTGTTTTAAAGGTCTACAGTGCTGATGTCTGAATTCAGCAGCAGTCAGTTTTCATTTTTGACAGTGATACATGGAATCTGAAATCAGTGGCTTAAGTTTTCCATTCTGGAAGAGAAGGAAACTTCTTACCTGCTTCAAATGTAGCCCTAAAGCTTTTGGAGACCATATTTTTCTTAGAATCCAAGAGGCCTTTCTGTAAAGAATTCACCTTTCCATTAGAAAAGCATCTGTGTCTATTGTGACAGGCCTCTCTTAAGAAATCTGAGAGAACAGAGCACTGCAAGCACTGCTCTCTACTAATAGTCTTTGGTTCTTTGTACTATAAAAAATGGCTGTTGTAAAGCAGGGTAACGGAGTCCTCTGGCACTGCAGCTACAGTGAGCTGTTCTGCTCTGCTCTGGCTGGTAATTCTGACCATATGTTTTGCTACCAAAGCCTCAGGGCCTAAAGAGTTAACAAGGCACTTTTTCTCGGTGTAGGTTTCCTGTTTAAAGAAGGGCTCTTCCTGAGCACTGTGCATGTAACAGATCATTGCACCAGCTCATCTCTGCTTGGACCTTGCTCCAAGATTGGTTTACAGGGGAACAGAGCCTCTGTGCCTTAGGCCACATTGGCTTGGGAGTGTTTTGCTGGGAGAAGCAAAGTATCGGTGCAGTGCTCGTAGGTCTTGGTGCTAATTGCACCTTTCCATTGGAGAAAATCTGTATTTCGTTGTAGACCTGCATGCGTACTGGAGATGTTGGCGCAGAGGAGGCCATCAGTGCTCAGACAGCAGAGCTGTGCTTACTGCAAGTTTGTAATGTCAGGACAGTTCTGCATTCAGCTGTATTCAGCTTGTGTGTGCAACTGCCGGTGGGTTCACCTGTGTGCTTCCCCAAGCTCTCTCCAGTCCAAGAAATCCATGACCCTGTTCAGTTAAACTGAATGCTTCAGCCATGGGTAGGTGAAAAGCCTTGGGCAGGGACTGCTCTTTCAGCAGGTCTGCTTGTAGTGAGCCAATGCAGAGACTGCACAGCAAGAGCAATAGCAAAGGTGCAGAAATAACGCATGTTTGGAGCAATCCTGTAGCGTATTTCTGGCAGTCTGAGTTCACTTCTGTTCGTGGTGATGAAACAGTCGCTGGCAGAAACAACCAAATGGAGGAGCTGTCCCTTTTCAGGGTCAAGATGTAGGAGCAGAGGGGAGAATCAGGCTCAGCTCTCCCAAGGATGTCTGTTCATTTGCTCTTGTCTCGAGTTTTGACAGGAGGTTCCTACAAGAAGTATTAGCCGATGCCAGGGCTGACATGGATCATACTCACAGTGCTCAGGGTTTGACTCCATTTCCCAGTCTGAAGCAGGGACAGAGTATTCTGTTTGTATAGAATAGCTTGACATGCAAGGAAGGAAAAACCTCTAACTTTGCTACCTGTGAAGCAATGTATGTGTTGTGTGTAAGGAAAACGAAATCTATCCTTCAAGAAAGTTTATCCTTCAAGCCATTTGGAATTCCTTTTCCTGAAAGGTTTAACCTCGTACAGAGTTTCCACGTGTTATCAGTCTGCCATCAGCAGCCGTTAAGCGCAGGAAACTTTCATGTGAGCACTGATCAAACTAAACAGACACAAGTTGTTTTAACAGATTTTTGTGTAAGCAGAATGGAAACAGGGGAATTAAAATATCCAACTTCTCTGTTTTCCATGCTCTCGACGCTGTTGGCTTCAATTTCTGCATGCTCCTGACTTGCTGAGGACTGGGTTAAAAACCAAGTTAGCTGTCTTGAAAATGCAAAGTGACAGTTTTAGTGTTTTGGTTCTGTGCTAATGTGCAATTAGGTAGTTATCCAATAAGCTTATTCATGTAGTCTAACTCAAGACAGCTGCGGAAGGCATAGAGAAAAGCCTTTGCTGTTGAGGGATGGTGTTTAAAAGGATCTGTTTCAGAGTTGCCAGGATGTTCTTTTCACAGTGAAGCATTAAAGGTTAGCAAGATTTGTGAAAAATTCTATTCTGCTGATCAAATCTATAGAGAAGTGAAACCAAAATGTGTGCAGATCTGAATACCAGCAAATACAGTGTAAGTTTGGATCTATAAAGTAACTCTAAGGCAACCATAGAAGCTGGGTTGTATGGCTGCCTTAGATAATAATAATCTATTACTTAGATAATCATCTAATTGCCTGAAATGATGACTTAGATAAGTGTATTTTGATTTGGATAAAGTACCTTTTGCTTCGTAGAACCTTGATGTCATCAAGTATTTCCAGTGTTCCAGTCACAAGCATAAAAACAGTGCATCCTCTCTAGTTAATTCACAGGAGACAGAACGGGCTCCATCATATTTCATGTCAGTGCTTTTAGGATTATTGACAGTATCCTGCTATAGAACCCCCGAAAGGCTGTGGATTCAGGTGATGTTTGATCTCCTCTTGCTAAATCCTGCACTGGAAATGCAACAAATGCCATTATCCTGCTACCAGAGGGCTTCGTGGAGAAAACCCGTGCACCTCACAAGCCTCTTCCCTTCAGCAGAGGGCAGTGAGCTTGCACGCACACCACCACCTCCTCCACATTGGGTCTTGTAGTCTCAGCACAGATCATCTGATGGTCACAGAAACTTAGGGCTATGGAGAACGGGTTAATGCCTTGTCCATTGGTGGCAGGCAGGATGTACAAGGCTGTTTCTCCCCTTGGAAGATGCACATTTATTTTCACATGGGACAGTTGCCCTATGGAACAGGTAATTATTCATGTTTGCACAAGTGAAGGCTAAGAGTGACTTGCTAAAACAACCCAAAAGAGTAGCTGGAATCCATCCTCTATGAGCTATCCAAGCACTAACAGGCAGGGATGTACAGTTAAAGTACGTGTTTAATACTTGAAGGTGATGCTATTCTCCCTCCCAAAAGTGCTCTTAACATTTCCTATGTGGTTGAAGC